CTGTTTTAAAGATAAACTCACCCCCTCGCTGTAAACATGGCAGGGTGAAAGGGTGGGGATTTCCACACCATATATATAAATTATATATATATTTATTTTATTTTATTTTATTTTATTTTTGCAGTTTTTGGCCGGGGCTGGGTTTGAACCCACCACCTCCAGCATATGGGGCTGGCGCCCTACCCTTTTGAGCCACAGGCGCCCCCCTCCACACCATATTTTTAAGGAGTGAGATGTCAAAAACGCATATATAGCATTGTCCTATTTTTGTAAAACGGAACAACAAAAGCACAACTTCAAGGGATGTGGTGATGTGGTGTTTTAAACTTTGCTTTTTATGTCTGAGTGTTTTCTGTGTTACTGAGAATGTATCACTGTGTGATAAAAATAAAAACGAATCAGTTAGGTTTTAGAAATGTTTGTTGGTTCTGAGAAATCGTCAAGGTGCCTAAGTGGAAACCACGCGTGGTCAAGATGCAGTGAGGTCTGACGTTGGGAAGAGAGGTGTGGGCTGAGGGGCACAGAGGGAGCCCCTGGGGTCCTAGGAGTGGAGGGGACTGCAAGATGGGGTGTGTAGATGGGGAACAGGAACCTCAGGGCTATGCCAGGAGGAAGCAGCAGAGAAGTTCAGTGAAGAGGAAGGACCGTGAGAGAGACGATGAGGAACCAGCGTCTCTGGGGCAGGGGATGTGGAGTGGTGCGGAATTATGATGAGACCACTCGCTGCCAGTGGTCTTACTGGCTATCTCAGAAGCCTGTGAGAGAAATAAGGGCTCCTCCCTCTGTTCTGCCCCACACCATTTCCTTTCCACCATCCAAGAAAATTAGCACCCCTCACAGCTTCTTTCTTAGATACAGCATGAGGACACCATTAGCTCTCGGGCTTAAACACCATCAGCTGAGGATGGAAGAAGCTGGGGCCCATCTATGGAGAAGCCAGTGCCTAAGGGACCCAAGGTTGAGAACAGACTTTTCTAGCAAAGGCATCACCGAGGAACTGAGTGGAGCAGATTTGTTAGGCCTGTGCGTGTGGAAGTCAGGACCCACGATCCTTTATCGCAGTCCTTCCAGTTACAGACGGCAGAAGAGTGGGCTCGTGACCTTCCTCCTCTTTTCCAATCCTGCAGCCGTTACTCTAGTGGGGTGCACAAGATAGTCACCTCTGACAGTCCCCAGTGTGTGGTTCCTTGGGGCATCCACTGGGTGCCACACTGGGTGCCTGAGTGAGGGGCGAGTGTGGCTGGAATCTGGCCTGGGCTGCCCACCCAGCCACGGGTGCTTGTGCAGGCTGGTTCTTCCTGGAGGGCTTCCTCAGTCACATGGGGTCGGATCACCACACCTTGGCAGGGCTCAGTTTGCCTGGAGGAACTGCTTCTCTCTACAGAGGGTGCCCCCCCCAAATGTATACACATTTTAAGAATGGAAAAAACTATATTAAGATTATAATATTCAGGCAGGGTGCAGTGGCTAACATCTCAATCCTAGCACTCTGGGAGGGAGAGATAGGTGGACTCCTTGAGCTCAGGAGTTCAAGGCCTGCTTGAGCAAGAGTGAGACCCTGTCTCTACTAAAAATAGAAGATTTAAAAAAAAAAAAAAAACTAGCTGGATGTCATGGTGGGCACCTATAGTCCCAGCTACTCATGAGACTGAGGTAAAAGGATCACTTGAGCCCAAGAGTTTGAGGTTGCTGTGACCTGTGATGTCATAGCACACTCCCCAGGGCAACTGGGTGGGACTCTGTCTCAAAAAAAAGAAAAATTGTAGTATTCAGTATTTACCAATAATGTTTGTTATCTTGTACATTGTATCTTTTATCTCTTGTAATTGCAGACGTCAAATGTGACTGGACTTTCCTTCCTTAAGACCTGTATACACTTTTTGAGACCATCTGTGTTTGCACAGTGAGGTTGACGTGGCTAGCAGCAGTCCCGGGAGTCCCAGGACAACAGTGAATCAGACACAGTCTTGGCCTTCAAGGTTAACAAGTTAGTAGAATGGCTCCTTTTATAGACAACTTGCTGCCAAGTAAACACTTTAAAGAACAGTTACTATGATATCAGTCTACGGTCAAAAGCCACTAAAGGCTCTCTATTGTTCCCCTTAGTCTGGCGTTCAGAGCTTCATGTCATCTCCCTGGCTACCCCAGGATCCTTCAGGTGGAAGGCTCTATAGCTGTGCCCGGCTGTCCTCTCTGTCTCAGGACACACCCTCCTACCCACCTCTCTGACCTCCTCAAGAGTGCCTCAGTCTTTCTCCCATGCTTCTTTGAAGTAAATAATGTCTGGGCCAGTTGGCACTTGACCCTCAACACAGACTGAGGATCCCACTCTTATGCTTTGGCCTTGCCTCTAATTTTACCAAAAGAAGGAACCTATGGAATCCACAGGGTCATTGCATTTTGGCAGCCAGCCCAGGACTTGTACCAAGCAGGAGTGCAATGAGTTTGGGTCTATAGTCTGAAAATTTACATTGGAAATCTAAAATTTTGCAAGGTACTTTCAAATATTTAACTTTCTGTTAGATGCTTGACCTTGAAATCACGTGGCTACCTTGGAAAGATAGATGTGTACCACAAAATGATTTATGAGTCTCCTATTTCTGCCTCTGACCTACATGTATTTTTGTTTCTTTTTTTATTTAGATCTTTCCTTCCTCAGCATGATACATCTTAATAAAGGAAGCAAGCACAGAAATACATGCTCTACAATCATGCTAATAATATTTTTCTACACTCAAGCATTCACGCATTGAGACTGGGTCTTTTTTCTAATTGTGCAGAATAATGTTAGTGAAACTGGAAGGCAAATGAAAAAGAAGCATCAAGAAATGAGTTCATTTTTACTTAATTTTGAATAGCATATGTAGCATTTAGACCTTTTCCTGATTATGAATGCTCGTTGTAGGAAATGTATAAAAACAAACTCACAGAGAAAAAAAAGCCTGTAATTATTTCTCCATCCAAAAATAACACCTGTTTTGTTGACTTCTTCGTACGCTTTATTGCATGGATGCTCTCTCTTTCTCTCTCTGACTCACCCTCCCTCCCTCCTCCTTTCTCATATATGCTTTAAAAAACTTCCAGAATATCAGTTTATTAAAATGTATCCTTCAGAAAGGACACTGGCCAAGCCACGAACAGAACTTACACATATCCACCATGACCCTCCTAATTGTTCACTCACAATATTAGACTTAATTAAATTTGGCTTTTCAGCTATCTAGTTTGAAAGTTTATTTTATTTTATTTATCTATTTATTTTTATTTTGTATTTTTTGAGACAGAGCCTCAAGCTGTTGCCCTGGGTAGAGTAACGTGGCATCACAGCTCACAGCAACCTCCAACTCCCGGGCTCAAGTGATTCTCCTGCCTCTGCCTCCCAAGTAGCTAGGACTACAGGCATCTGCCACAACGCCCAGCTATTTTTAGGTTGCAGCTGTTATTGTTGTTTGGCAGACTGGGTTGAATTCGAACCTGCCAGCTCAGGTGTATGTGGCTGGTGCCTTAGCCACTTGAGCTACAGGGGCTGAGCCTATTTATTTATTTATCTGAGACAGAATCTCACTTTGTTGCCCTTGGTAGAGTGCCGTAGCGTCACAGCTCACAGCAACCTCAAACTCTTGGTCTTAAGAGATTCTCTTGCCTCAGCCTCCCAAGTAGCTGGAACTATAGGCATCTGCCACAACGCCTAGCTATTTTTGTTGCAGTTGTCATTGTAGTTTAGCTGGCCTGGGACAGGTTCGAACCCACCACCCTCAGTGTATGTGGCTCCCGCTCTGTATTTTATCTCTTTAATCTCATGACAGTGTCTTTGGAAGAACAAGAGCTTCTTGATGGAGTCCAATTTACCAATTTGTTTTGTTTGTTTGTGGACCACCCACTTGGTGTCATTTCTGAGAACTGTTTGTCTAGCCCTAGTCACTAAGATTTACCACATATTTTGCTCTAGCACCTTTTATAGTTTTATGTCTGTACTTAGATCTACAGTTCATTTTGAGTTGATCTCTACTAACTTTATATGACCACAGATGACAAAGTGTTCCAAAACCATCAGTTGAAAAGAGTATCTTTTCTCCACTGAATTGTATTTACATGTTGTCAAAGATCAAATGGCTATATTTGTGTGAGTCTATTACTGGACTTTTTATTTTGGTCTATTGATCTCTGGGTCTATATCTTTGCTCTGGGTCTTTTAAAACTAAAAAGTGTACATATTTGTTATGTATCATGAACAAGAGAGGGCAAAAGGAAACGAAATCTCTGTGTGTCCCCAAACTGGCAGCAATTAACTCCTCTAACCAGCTATTTCCTGCCACCTCCTAACTCGGGCTACACAGAAATGGAGGTGAAGAGCTCAGTAAAGGTACCAGTTGGCTTCATTGTATAACACATTAATAACACGTCTGCTTCCTTAAACACCTTCCTCTCTCTCAGTGTTTTTCTGTTGGTATCCACTGAAAAATATGCCACCTTCATGCAGCTCAGGGAAAAGGGAAAGGAGTGGCTCCCTGACTTCAGGCAAAGTTTTAGATAAAAATCCAACTCTTCTTTTTCTTCTCCTTTTTCCCAGGAAGGGAAATATGAAAATGAAAACACTTTTACCATTTGATTTGAAAATAAGATGTCATCCAAGCCGTAGCAAGAGTTTCATTCTATTGACAAGTGGTCTCTGTTAAAAGCAAGTTTCTGGGTAGCTTTCCAGCAGGCATCATTTCAATGAGGAAGATTCAGAACGGGATTCCAGAGCACAAAAATACAAATGGACAGAGATGTGGCAGGTGGAAACAGAGAGTCTCCCTTTGCTCAGCCTAAACCGGGGTTATTTATTATACACTACAGTAGAACCCTCTATAGCTGGCCGCCTCTCTACATCACCCACCTCCTTAAGTTGACCTAATTTCCATGGACAGAAAGTACATATACGTATCAGTACAGTAGGCCTCATTCCTTATGTTGACCACCTCTGTATGTTGACAGCTTATCACAGTCTGTTGGGTGGTCAACTTACAGAGGTTCTGCTGTATTTTATAACTAAAAACAGGGCAACTTCACTGCAGGGAAGGCTGGAGATGATGGCACTCATTACGTCTCATTCTGTCTCGTTGATCCCGTGCTATGCAAATGACAGAGCTATTGGTGTTAGGTAAACTCTTGTTTTCTTCCTTCAGGCTGATGTTGGGGAACTACACTCCTTTCTCCACGTATTGGGATAATACATGCAGCCAAGAAATAATGTACTTTTAATTGAAATGGCCAGGGGAGTCATGACTTTTACAGAGACCCATGAGTTTTTCGCCCCCAAGATCCACGTGACATGTTCTAATGACTGGGCAGTTTTTCTGTGTTCCTGACATCTTTAGTCCATGAATTGTGACTTCCTTCAGGTCCAGAGACTTTTTATCCCATTGCATCATCACTCTTTCTGAATTGAAGTTGACTTCTCCGAGGAACATTCCCCTATTCTTTTTCTACTTCTGTTAATTTTGTTCCCAAATGAACCAACGGGGGCTTAATCACTATTTAACTTTACTGTTATCACCTTGTCTTATGCCTGCAGATGGGAGATAGAATGGGACTAGACGGTGACATAACAAAAGGGACCACCCTGATTATCCATTCATTGGTGAACCTGTTCATTTGTTCTTTCATTTACTAAGCAACTGCTACGTGTCAGGTACTGTTTCCAACACTGTAAATCTTTTCCTTCAAGGAGCTTATGGTGCAACAGAGAGGGGATAGATTCAAGGAAACCAGCAAAATGCACAGTGATAGAGCTAAAGTAGGCATTTAGCACCCGGTGGCCTAAAAGCATCATATGGAGTGTCCTGCTCAGCCTGGAGAGTTAGAGAAGTCACCTGGAGCAGGTGGCAGCTAAGACAAATCTTGGAGAATACATAGGAGTTAGTTCAGTGACCAGGGTGGAAGGTAGCAGGGGGTTTCTGAGCAGAGGACATTGCCTGTGTAAAGGCCCAGAGAATACACATGAGGTGGGAGTGTCTTTCAGGAACTGCAACTATTTTAGCATTAGGGGAGTGCAGCGTACAGGGATGGATCTTGTGGCTAGTGTGAGTGCTACTTACAAACACCAAAGACAAATGAAAACAACCCAACAAGTTCGACTGTCCTGGGCAGGACATACATTCTTGCATCTACCACAGACCCTCCTCCTTTTCATTGTTCTACCCTATGCTAATTTACTTTATTACCACCTGGCGCATGTCGGCATTTAAGTTTAGGATCCCCCTACCTCTGGTCCTAGACAAAATACCAAGTTCAAACAATCTCAGTCTCCATGTCTGGTATGAAAGGAAAGGAGACTAGCTTTGTGAATGCCATTGTAAGATCCTACCAACCAGGAGAGCCCAGGACAATTACTCACATTCATTATAAGAAGGGTCTATTTCCTTGTTGAACAAAATGGAGCATAGGAGTATAAAGACAAATATTTGCAAAGGTCATAATATATGCCAAGTACTATGCTTAGTTCTTTTATGCCAGGTCATTCAACAGAGGAAGATAGTAATTTATTCAAGAAATAACAAAAGGGGCCACCCTCACTCATTCATTAATTCACGTACGCATTCATTTGTCCAGTCATTTACTAAGCAACCGCTGTATGTCAAATACTGTTTCCAACACTGCAGATCTTTTCCTTCAAGGAGCTTATGGTGCAACAGGGGATCGTTTAAGAGGTCCTGGGTGCATGTATATAATTAAATTCATAATTTATAAAGTGATCTTGTACAACTTAAAATATATTATTTATGCAAGGAGCACTTTAATGTTTAATGCAATCAAATAAACACCTGATAACATTTATGGAGGCTCATTTCTGTGCTAGGTTCTGTGGCTCCCTGGCAATACAGCGTTCGTGTGGTTCCTGCCCTGGATCATCCACTCCTGTGGGCTGCATGATAGCACAGATGACTATCTCTGCCTGGTTTTCTGAGTCGTCAGATTTGAGTCATCCAGGGATTAAAGGAAACCTTGAGTCAGCCATTTGTAACCCTGGCAAACGTTAACAGGTTTGCATATTTAAGATTGATTTGGATCAAGCTAACCTTTTTCCTTGTTGGGATGAAAATCTTGGCCACTAAGTAGATCAGGAACGAACACTTCTGCTGATAACCCAGAGTAAGCCTGATCCTTGTCTTTCCAGGACTTCTCCTATGCACGGTAAGGGTTAAGCTAACCACGTTAATACCTTGTTAAGCTGACTTGAAAACGTAAGTTCTTAGTCCTCACAACAGAAATTGAGCTGAAGCTGGCTTATATTTCTTCATGCTTGCCTTTGGCATGAGTCATGAGAAATGAGGATATTTATTTCCAGAGGAAGGAGGAAAATTGGAGTTAACTTTGAATTTCCCCCTGTGGCTGCCTGCTGTAAGCACTCTGTTGCCGGGTACATTTTTGTTGATCCAATATTCAATTAGTCAGAGATCTCTATCTACAGCAAATCTCATCTGCATCAATGTGTCAGATAGGCCTGTACCTGTGGGGCAGCTCTACATCCCAGAGCCCCTGACCATTAGGAGCTCACTCACGGAGTAAGGAACCAGCTTCGCTCGCACAGCGCCGTGTCCTGGCTGTGGCATCCTGGGACAGTCGGTCTGTAATCGCTGCCCTGAGCACATGCTTCTCTTTCTCCTTCTCCCTCTCCCAGGATGCTCGGCTGGCCTGGCAGGTTGTTTTCCCTGCTCACATCTGGCAAGCATCCCTGGATGTTAAGCCACGACAAGATTCTAGTTACAACATTTTGATCAGCTGCAAAACTGGGCAACCACACGAGGGTCACAACAGGTACAAAAATGATGAAAGCTGATGGCCCTGATGACAGGAGTCTGGGGTGACCCTAGAACACCAGAAAAGGCCTTCCCAGAAGAAAGGGACTCCCAAGTTAGTGATTCTGGTGAAAGCGGAAGCCAGGACAAAAACAAGAGCATGTGGGAGGAAAGGGAGGACTTGGGTGAAGTTGGGAAGGAGGCAGAGAGAGAATTCTCAGTGGCAAGTTCAGAGCCAGAGGCTCTGGTTCTGTCGGTGAGAAGGTAATAGTGGTAAGAGAAGCCAAGGGAGTGAGATTGTGAAGTGTTCCGCAGCATTTGATATAAAAAGGAGATTTAGAATCACATAGAGAAGCCAATGGAAAATCAAGGCAGATTTGAGGGGGGGTCTTGGAGGGCCGTTGGAGAGCACGGAGCCCTGCGACGTTTAGTCAGGCTGTCGGGCTCTGGAGGTGGAGACTGTCGGTGAAGGGACTGAAAGTGGGGGTGGGGGGTGGCTAATCAGGTGGGCGGAGCTCCGGCGTGGCCTCCCCGGGCAGAGTGAGCCTGGGCTGGGCGGGGAAAGCATTCGCAGGTAGGTTTGGAGAGACACACACCTTCGGAAGGTTGTTCAAAAGTGAGCTGTGCCTGTGATTTCTTTAGATTGTCTGATAGCAGATTCTGCGATGTGTACCAGCGTCAGAGGGATCAGGCCATTGTGAAATTTTTTTTTTTCTTCTGTGGTAAAACTAGCCCCAGCCAGCCAGACTAGGAATTTACTGCCTGAGCTGTTTTCCAGTGTGAGTTGTGCTGGCAAAACCAGATGTGAGTGTTCCCTTGACTCTCAAGAGACCTGTTTACACTGACTTTATTTTTACTGCCAGCTTTCAAGTGGGAAGAGGGAAATTACATTTAAAGGTCAGCAGGTGAGCAGCGGGATCCCGGCCCTGCCTGTGTGGATGTGTGCACGTCTCTGTGTGTGTGCACGTGTGCGTGCTTTTCCAGATGGACCGTGTGCCCTGCTCTGGTTGACAAGCCCTGATCACTTGTTTGTAGGCATAATGATGGGTGCTACGCTGGTTGTTTGGCAGTTTCTTATTTGTTTATTGTAAAGAAGGTAAATCAATCTGTGGGACGTTTTTGGACTGCAGAGCAAGGGATATTTACAGTCAACAGGATAAGGAGGAGGAGATATAAGACCCTGAGCTGCAGGGCGCTTCTAGGATCAGGGCAAGAGCAGAAAAAGGCGGGGAGAAACCACACTCAGGGTATTTCTGTCTTGCAGGGAGCTTTTAAGCCTTTGGGTGAGAAATGCAACTTGAAAAACTGCTCTCTACTCAAAGCCCCAGTCAATGGAACTAAACGGGGTAAAATTAATGAAATTCCATCTCATTAACTCTTCTTTTTAAATTCCCAGAAAGATTACAGAAGGAGTCTCACAATTTGGAAATAAGAACCTGACTGAGTGTAGAGTTGAGCAGCCAGTCTGTGGTCCACGCACACACCTCCAGAGGAATTTAGCATCCAGAGACTAACATTACTGGGAAAGCTGCCCACAGCGCGTGCTCCACTCAGGAAACACCCAGAAGTTGTGGTTCTACTCAGGATTAACCAAGAAGCCATGAAATCCTTTAGTGAGGGGGACTTAGAAGACTGCCTGCTGAGTGAGGTAAGGACAGATGCTGGTCTCGGTCTCGCCCAGACACCCCTCCTCACCCTCCACCCAGCCCAGCCTTGATCCAGAAAGGATTCCAGGTCGCCTCCACGGATTCATGAAATGCAACTCAGAAACCAAAGGCTGCCCCCCGCCCCCCAAGAGGCTTTAGGGACTTATATTTCAGTCTTTTCTTTGAGGTTCTAATGCCCAAGGACAGAAAGTCGGAATCTGGGTCGCAACTCCATCTCTGCCCTGATCCGTGTGTGGTCATGAGTCACTTAACCTGCCTGGGCTTCAGCTTTTTTCTCTGTGAATTGAGAGTGACGATAGACTCTTATTTGGGATCATTGAAAAGAGCACATGAAATTAAGATTAAGGTTTTTGTTTTTACTATTATCATTTTTGAGACAGAGTCTCACTTAGTCACCCTCGGTTGAGTGCCGTTAACATCATAGCTCACAGCAACCTTAAACTCTTGGGCTCAAGTGATTCTCTTGCCTCAGCCTTCCAAGTAGCTGGGATTATAGGCACTGGCCACAACGTCTGGCTATTTTTAGAGACTGGTCTCACTCTTGCTCAGGCTAGACTCGAACTCCTTAGCTCAGGCAATCTGCCTGCCTGGGCCTCCCAGAGTGCTGGGATTATAGGCGTGAGTCACAGCACCGGGCCAAGATTAAGCTTTTTAAAAACTGAAACTGCTAGGTTTTTTTTTTTTTTTAAGTCCTATTTGTAGTACCCATCAATTAAGAATTAATTTAGTTTCTTCTAGATAGAGTCATGGGCTCTCAGAATGTTAGAACATGAAGTGGCTTTAAATATTATCTAATTTAAGTCTTTCCATTTACAGATGGATGATGTTAATACTAAGACATGATGTTAATATTAAAATTAAAACATTGAAACTGATGTAAGAGGTAGGGACTAGTCTGTAGTTTTCATCCCATTGCAAGTAAACAAAACAGAGATCATTATGATAATTTTAAGTGAAGTGTATTTCTTAGGCAAAACCAATAAAAAGAGATAAACAAGAAAAACTTACAATGATAAAAATTATAGTAAACAAAATAACTTCCTATTTTTCCTCCTTTTTTAAAAGGAAGAATGGTGGCTGTCATCTTCCTATGAGTCCTATATTTTATTTAAGAAAAACCTGCACATTTTTGAGCCTGGCATTCAAATAACTTTAACACCCCTCTCTACCCTCTTCTTTCCCTGAATTTTCCATAGCAGGGATTCTAAACAGTGCTTCACAAGCTGAATCCAGCCTGTGCTTGTGTCTTGTTCGATCTGTGAAGTATTTTTTTTTTTTTTGGAGACACAGCCTCACTTTGTCACCCTTGGTAGAGTGCTGTGACATCACAGCTCACAGCAACCTCAAACTCTTGGGCTTAAACAATTCTCTTGCCTCAGCCTCCCTTGTAGCTGAGACTGCAGGCACCCACCACAACTCCTGGCTATTTTATTTGTTTGTTTAACAGGCTCAGGTGGGGTTCAAACCCACCAGCCCTGGTGCATGTGGCTGCCGCTCTAACTGCTGAGTTATGGGCACCGAGCCATGGGAAGTACTTTTTAAGTTTTTCAAATTTTTATAAACATTTCAAAATAGAGATTTTGCATAGAAATCCCGATTTCTATCTTCCCTGGGGGGGAAAATCATGCTGTCTGGCAACCACAGGTCCTAATTTGTTGCCTGGAAGTTGCAGCTGGAGCTGAGTGTCTGTTGGGCAGAGCTTGTGCGTCCAGCCCTCAGGAGGCAGCAGCCCTGGGGCTCTGACCCCTGGCCCCTGACCTCCCCAGATCCTTCCCTCTCCTGTATGTCCCCTACTCCAACCTTATGGGGGGTCAAGTCTCCCACTCCTGCTCCACAAGAACTGTGCCTGGAGCATGTCTCAGGCCTGAGCCTCTCACCCCCAGTTTTTTTTTTTGCTTATAATTATCCTTCAGACTCAACCCAGAGTCCACTTTCTCAAGGAAGGTTCCCCTGACACCCCAGCACAAAACGGTTTTGCCCCTTTTGTAAACTCCCGTCATATTATGAACTGATACTGTTTACTTGTCAATTAATTCTCTATTGACTCCGGATACCTTCCCTCTCATCACCTTGGTTGTTGACTTCAATATTACATTATTTTCATTCTTTGTAAGTTTCTGGAGGGAAGGATGGTGGCGTCTTGGGTATCTTTTTTCCTTTGATATTCACAGGGTTCTTGCACTTATGTGGTCAGAAACATCTTCAGAGTTTCTTGAAGATAGGGCCAGAGTAGTGTGGAAGTTGTTGGCAGGTTGAGGCCCACCCCCGAGCTCGTTTATTCTAATCAATAAGCATGTGCTGTGTGTATTTTTTTTTTATTAAATCTTAGCTGTGTACATTAATGCAGTCATGGGGTACAGTGTTCTGGTTTCATATACAATTTGAAATATTTTCACCAAACTGGTTAACATAGCCTTCATGGCATTTTCTTAGTTATTGTGTTAAGACATTTATATTCTACATTTAGAAAGAGTCACATGTACCCTTGTAAGATGGACCATAGGTGTGGTCCCCCCAATCACCCTCCCTCACTCCCCCCTCCCCTCCTCTCTCTGTGTGCTGTGTTTATTACCTCCATTTCTCACAGAAGAGAAAAGAGGCTTACAGAGATTAAATAACTTGTCCAAAGTCACACATCTAAATTGTGAAGGTCCGGAGGTTTCAGCCCAGTCTTTTTAGTCCAAAGTCCATACAAGGTTTGACAATTAAGTTCACAAACTCATCCTAGAAAAAGTGCTACGTACCTCACTGCTGAATAGGGGGTCACCTTTGAAGCTGTGCACCAAGGCCAGCCCCTAGTTCACCCTTTAGCACAATTTTAGAACTCGGTTTCTGGAATGATGATCAGGGCCGTCATCATACAAAGGTCTGACAAGTAAGTTCTCAAACTTGCCACTGTACACTTACGTTGGCACCACTGTACCAACAACTCAGTAAGGTTTCATAACTTGGTGCATCGCTTCCCAAGGGGAGCACTTCAAAGGGGACCATAGTGATACACAGAGACAAAGGTGCCGCACTTTTTCTCAGGTGAGTTCAAGAACTTAATTGTCAGACCTTCATGTTCCTCTGTTAACCTTCTTTCTCTGCAAACACACCGAGCACTTGCTTTGTGCAAAACCCCTGTGCTATGATTCGAGGGTAGACAAGGCCTGAGATCTGGCAGGCTAACTGAGAAAAATTCTGTGTTGTGGTTCTTAAGGAAAGCTCTGTCCTACTGGCAGAATTTGCACAAAACTCCAAAGGAAAAAGGAGGAAGTCCCATGTGCAGACAGAGAAATGCATAAGGGATGCAACAGAGGTTTCAACAGGGGAGGACAGGAGAACTGGCCCTGACAGGGAGGAGTCTTACCGAAAGGGGGTGCAGACGGAGCTTTGGAGAATGTGGAGCATTTTTGTAATGGGAGAAGCACAGGAAAAGGAGCTCTATGCAAACATTTGAGGTGGCATTCATTCCCTGGCACCTTTTTTGGGGGGAGGCAGAGCAGTGTCGTGGTTCCAAATATGGGCTTTGCAGTGATACTGCCCAGGTGCGTGACTTACTAACTCTGGCCTCAGCTTTCTGTACTTCAGTTTTCTCATCTATGAAGTGGGGATAATTGTAGCATCCACCTTAAAGGATTGTTGTGAGGCTCAAAGGAGCCTACCCTTATAAAGTGCCTGGGACACAGGAAGGACTCAATCTTCTTTCCTCCACGCAGATGCTGCTGCAGCTTCTGCTACATCTGGGTGCTACGAATATCCCGTGGGGCTCAGGCATTTGACTCATAGAAGAATTAGTCTGGAAAGAAGGGATGTGGGGGCGGAACAGCTGTGGTTTCGTCTGTATCTGTCACTGAACTTAAGCCTCCATCCCTTTATGTTATTAGCTCCTGGAAGACAGAGATGAGGCTGGTTTTGTTTTGCTGTGCGGTGTTTTAAAAAACTGATTATTGTATTCATGCAATTTCAGAATTAAAGGTCTGATTTCTTGTTTTCTGGAAGGAAGTTTATGCCTTTTTTCCGTCGTAGCACCTCTCCTGGGGACAGATCCCCGGGCCCCATGAGCTGGTCTGTGTGACCTGCTCCTGGCCGGCTACTTCACCCCACCTTGATCTCTTTCTCTGAAGGAAACGTGTTGGAATGCAAGTGAGTCACAGCAATTTCATGATAGGGAACAAATAGCCTTGAGTTCCCAATAATTTATATTTGAAACAGTAAATTATTCACGAACTTGATCTATTAATAGTAGCAAATGACTTGTGGAACAACAATGAGCCAGACACGGAGGTTGGGAGGGTGGAGGGGAAGTAGCCCAGGATGGGGTGTGGGCGTGTGGGTGGGCATGTAGTGGGAGGCCTGCAGGAAGTGCATGGCCCTCTTCACAGGTGCCCCACAGGGACTACTTTTGCATAAGCTCTGCTTCATGAGGAGGAAGGAATCTGCTTGCTAACGGTGTGACACAGCTTTTCTGGGGCCAGTACAATAGAAGGGCTGAACCAGGTAACCCAACCACGCCCAGCATTGTGTGTGTGTGATTAGCTTCACACAATTCATTTCTGCGTTAGCTCTGTCACATCTACAAGTGCAGCCTCTTCAGAAGAAAAATGCACCTTTGTTCATTGATTTAATTAGCAGAGCAGGCGAGTGAAACCTGAACAGACCCCTGAGGTCAAGTTTTGATTAAATGTGCTTTGATTCCATCTTCTTATAGTATTGTATTTCCCCCTTACATTGGTTTCCAAGTTTTGCCATGAAGTAAGTTTGTTTTGTTGTGCGGTTCTTCAAGAACAAAGCTTCCTCAAGGCTGCAGCTGGTAGCTTGCTCCCTCCCTCAGGGATGAGAGGCTCTGAAGGGATTCTGGGCTGGGCTTGCAGTGAGTCTCTGCCTATGGCAGAACCTCCTTCTTTTATGAAGATCACTCTCTGCAAAACAATAACAAAGAAAGAAATCAAAGAAATAAAAAGATTACTCTCTGTAATGCTACCTCAGACCCCCACCCCGCCTGCTTTTCCATACCCTGATTTGGAATCTTCCCCTGCATCCTCCAGGCTGTGGTCAGGACAGGTGCAGGGGTTCTGAGTCGTCACACCATGGGAGGGACAGGAGCTACATGGGACCCACCTGGGAAAACACCCGGCACAAACCACTCTTGGGGCTACTGGGTAGCACTGTGGTTCTGTATATGTAAGGACCTATGGCTGGAGGTGTACAGGGATGTGGGGAGACACAGGGCTGCCCCCACCTAATAAGAAAGAGGCTTCCACCCAGCCCCCAGGCGTGGGCACTGTCCAAGCCTAGCCTCATAGTCCAGCCCTGCTGCACTGCCCTTCTGTGCTGGTGGGACTCCAGGACAGTCAGCGATGCCCAAGTAAATGGACACTTTGGACTTTTTATTTCATGATCCTTGACACCAAATTGTGAGTATTTTTAGGTTCAGAAGGAAGAAAAGGATAGGTATTAACCCTGGGGCTTCCATACTTGTATGTGTGGCTCAGGGTGACGGAAGGGAGAGTTGGGGACCTGGGCATGCAGTCTGGTTCTATTGCCAAACGCCAGGGTGACATCGAGAGTGCCACCTTGTCAGTCTGGCGCTCTGTGAAGTGACGCCAGCCAAGTTTCTCAGGTCTCTTCCATTTCTAAGATCCTGAGTCTAAATAGCAGCAGAAATGATGGAGGAAGAAAAGCAAAACCCGATTTGTGGTTCTGGTCTTGGGAAGCATTCTCTGATTCTGACTTTTCATCTTTGGAAATCAGAAAGGATCTTTAAATGAGCTCATGGTTCCGTGTAATGAGTGAGAGATTACACTTGTCTTTCAGGAAGTGTGTGATCTTATCCTTCCCAGTAAGAAAATTTCACCGTTGAATGAGGGCACAATTTGTATAAGAGATGAAGATCTTTCCAGGAAGGCCACTCACCACATGTGTGTGGATATTTCCATGTTCATGTAAACACACATGGACACAGACTCCTAAGCTTTTATCCGTTAAATGTCATTAGCTGGTGTTAAGATAGTAGGAAATCTTCTGTTAGCTTATTATCTCAGGAAACGGTGCATGTATATGCATGTATATAGTCACTACTGTTATCGACATTCACATTTGGGGGAATCATACCACAGGACGTGGAAAATCAGGAGGCGAGTCTTTGTCCTCAACACATCCTGAGAACCTAATTGTTGGCGAATACGGTTTCCCAGCCCCGGGGACAGCAATGACCTTTCTAGTTAGCCCTGTATTACTTTTCCCCGTGGCACCTGATCAGACTTCTTTTCTTTGAACTTGCCTAAAGTTCCCTCCCCTATAGAACTGGCTTTATCCATTCCCTATTCAGGCTGGAAACCATAGCCCCTAGCCTACCCCTGGAACCCTCCCTTACCCTTTTATCTTCTCTGGCCTTTGTCCAGCAAACTGCAATCTGAGCACTGCAGTTCTTGCCTCTGGAGGGCTGAGAGGTGTTGAGGAACATCTCACAACCTAACCCACTGCGACCCCTAGCTTCCTGGCCCCCACCGCAGCTAAGTCTTGGTGCTGGGGGGCCATCTTTCCACATGTCCTCAGCCGTCCCTCCTTCCCACTTTCCACCTCCCTTCCAGCACACTGCCGTATCTCCTGGACTGTAAAGAAAAGAAACCTCAGATGGGAAATCGCTCTGATTCCTGCTCTTCCCTGCCCTTTCACTGCCCATCTCTGCTCCCTTTGCCCTTTCCTTCTGACACACAGAGTCTCCAGATCTGCATGACTTCTTCTGTCTGGGAAATCCGTACACAATGGTTTTGCTCTCTGCAGCCTTTTTTCCTCCACTGACTGTTTTCTCTCAGCATTTAAACATGTTCAAGCCTGTGTGTCATTTTGGAAAAACTTGCTGGCGTCCCTATTGTCCTGGTTCCCCCCCTCCCCCACATAATCAAACTTCCTGGAGGAGTTCTCACCTCTGCCCTCACTTGCTTGTCTCCCATTTACTCTTAATCCCCCTCCACCTCTTAACACCCTCCACTCCCACCATCACTTCCAGCGTCCGATCGTCCCCCCACCCCCAAACACAGCAATCCCATTCCAGCTGCCAAACTCCATGGACATTTTTGAGCCTTATCTCACTCAGCCACTTGCCGTTAACTTTGTCCTAAAACTCTTCCTCCTTTATTTGTAAGATTTCTGTTTCTTTTCCCACCTCACCACCCTCCTTTAAGGCAATTGCTGCTCCAGCAGCGTCATAGAGACAACTGAGATTCTCTCTTTGTGTTCCTGGGGCCTCGCTGAGACTGCCACTTTCTCTTTCTAGAATAACCTTCATGCCCTGTCTTCCTAGATAAGTCCTACTAATCTTTTAAGGCACAAGTCTGACACACTGCACCCCCAGGAAGGCTCCCCAGCCTCCAGGCTAGAGGAAGCGGCCCTTCTCTGTGTATCGGAGCGTCCGTGCAAACCGCGGCCTCGCTCTAGATTGCAGCGACTGTAATTCCCACTGTATTTGTCCTGCTTTGTCAGTTGATCTCAATAGCGGGTGTGCATGGAGCCTGGCAGGAAGTGGATGTCCAACAAACATCAGTTAAATGGAGTTGAATCACAACACGAGGGGGAAGCCCTCCCTGGGGGACCCTTATTAAAGGTCTAAAACCATCTCCCTTTATTTTTGTTGTGGCAAGTGCCCTGCCCCTCTGTGATCTTCCACTTGCACACTCTGAAAGACGCAGAGCCTCGATAGTTTACAAATGTCCAAGAAGGGTCCCCTTGGTTCCTTCTCCCGTGATGACTATCCTGGGTGGGCATGAAAGGCATTGGGTACAGTGCGGGGGGTGGGGGGTTGCTCATGGCAAAAAGATGTTAAAAGCTGGTATGGATATGATCACCACATTCAGGATCAGGAGAAAAAGGGAAATTTTGAAAAGACAAATTCACGTATATCAGTTATTTCAATGAGATTGGAAGCTCCTCTGAACGAGAGCCTCATCTTAGGTTTCCTTTGACTCATTGCAGCATTAGGCATCTAGAAGTTGTTAGCTTGTTTTTCAAAGATAGTCACCTCTGTGATGATATGTGCACATAAAACAGGCCTCAGCCTGTGGACTGGATAAACGTCTCTGTTGTTCCCGGGGCGCCCTGCGAGTCCCCACTGTGCCGTCCCCACACCTGCATTCTGTACTTATGTCTGTCTTCCCCACCGCTGTGAGTACATAGCTATGTCCGTCTTCTCCATGGCTGTGCCAGCAGGTAACAGTGCCCAGCACAGAGCACTAAACATTTACTGACGACCTGACTCCATATGTGACATACAGCGTGTGTGCAAACAGGCACATTCTCACAGCTGAGCAGCCTACTGGGTGCTGACACTCGTTCAACTACTCGGTAGTCACAACCTGGGTGGAGGCACCATGGCGTCATGTCACAGTCTCACCGGGGCTCACAGGACCCTCCGTGATGATCCCGCCTCTGCTCTCCTTTCCAAACTCATCTCCAGCCACTTCTCTTCTCCTGCCCCAGGCTCCAACCGCAGTGGCCTCCTCAACTGGCCTGGAGCATTGCCAAGTGCGCTCCTGCTGTAGGGGCCTTGGAATCTGCTTCCCCCAAATGTCTTCATGCCTCACTCAAATATCACCTGTTTAGGGGAGCTGCCTCTATCTACCTTACCTAAAATAGCAGCTCCTCCAGTCTCTAGTGCCCCCCTCCCCGATATTATGTCACACACACACACACACACATTTCCTGTACTCTCTCCTCAAGGGCAAGTATTTATAGAACATTTGCTGTTGTCTTAATCACTGTTGTGTCCCCCAGCTCCTGGACTGGCACCTGCCACATAGTAGGTACCAGGTGAGTATTGAGTAAATACATCTATTTTAGGAGAGAGCGTGGAAGCACTTCCGAGTCTCATGGCAGGCAGAGTCAGGTCCATCTCCTCCAGAGTGCTGGGAAGGCAGTGTGTTTGAGCTGAGCTCCTCCAGTCACAGGCACCCGCAGATCAGCCCTTGTCTGGTCCCTTCTCTATCCCAGGCAGAAAATAACAGCCTTTGCTGGTCCTTTCACACCCAGGTGGACTTGAGGCGCCAGCGGATTTCCCAGTCTGTGGAGGAGGTACAGAAAGTCGTTCATCAGTTGACCACAGAAATCAGCCACCAAGACATTAGGTTTCAAGCCATGCCATACTCAGATTTGTACAATAGGAACATCAAGGTAAGCAGGTCTCCCTTGTCTCCAGGTGCCACCAACACGCTGGGGATGCCGGGTGCCTGGAACTCAGTTTGTGTTGCCCCTGACCCCTGAGAATACTCCCCGCACTCCACGTTTCTGTGGGAACTCTCAGCTCACCATTTCCAGGCTCATTTCACAGATGCTATCTCATTGGAGCCCCCACATTCCTTCATGATAGAAACTGGACTTAGAGACGCCAAGTGACTTGATGGCGTCCTGCTAGGTGCCGATGCCAGAACTCCTGCTGAGACCTCCCTTGCCAAGGCAGGCTCCACTGCAGTGACTGAAGCTCATTTATCAAGCACCTTCCTAATAGATTAAGGACGGGGTAGAGGGCATGGAGGCCACCGATAAGAAAATATTAGTAATTGAAAGTGGTAGTCTGTGGGCTGAAGGGGGAAAGTGGCAAGTGGCCCTTAGAAACTGGAGCAGCCTTGCAGTACCCCCTGCTGAGGAATCCCACGGCTCCTAAGCCACCAGGGCCAGGGTGTGAAGCCGGAGTTCAGGTGACACTGCTGTGGACACAGCTGCTCTCACAAAAGTCACTTCACTCTAACCTGTAAACAACCTTGTGGAAAGGACAATATGGTCATCTCTATTTCAGAGAGGAGAGAAGTGAGGCTCTGATCATCCTGAATCTCATCATTTCTTTTTTTTTTTTTTTGAGACAGGGTCACTTTGTTGCCCCAGCCAGAGTGCAGTGGCATCATCATCGCTCACAGCTTCCCAAGTAGCTGAGACTATACACAATAGTCTGCCACAATACAAATTTTTCAATCTTTAGTAGAGATGGGGTTTCACTCTTCCTCAGCTGGTCTTGAACTCCTTAATCTCAAGGGATCCTCATACCTTGGACTCTCAAAGTGCTAGGATTACAGTTGTGAGCCAAGGCACTTGGCCGCCACATCATTCTTTATCTCGGTTGTTCTTATGCCACCTAAGAACCTCTTCCACCTTGTATTAAATATATATGTATTTATGGCCTTTTTTTTTCTACAGCAGACTGTGAGCTCCTTGATTGTAAGGGTCGTGTTTATTGATTATTTTACTCCTAGCACCCAGCTTGGTGTGTGGCACATGCTAGACACTCAACCTACATTGACTGATGAATAAGAAAACTAGTTAGTGCCTGAGCAAAAGACCACTGCTGATCTTGGACATCAGGAGCCACACTATGAGATTCTAGGATGTGTGGATTTTGAAACAGAGTCAAATTTTAGGAAATTCATTCCAGGATGGAAACTGTAAAATTAGATGGCGTCCTGGGAAATTTCCTTCTGTAGTCCCACTTAGAATTCACAACTTAAAACATATCTTGCATTTATATATGCCGTGTCCTACATTTTAAGTTCTGAAAACAGTTACAGTGTAGCATATAAAAATCACTTTTACCTTATCTGGAACCCAATTCAATAAGGATGTATTAAGCACCATTCATATGCCCAGCAACACGACAGTTGTGCTTTTGAATTCACGTGCAAGTCGATTGAGATAATGCATACATTTTGAATCCTCTAGTCTAGATGTCTTTCCCTCTCTTCACATGCCATCAGCTTTCTGTAGACACCAGAAGTCATGTGGGCCCACGGTCTAAAACATGAGACTGTTTGAGAATGAGAACAGGAGTCAGTTGAAGCTGATTTTGGTGTTCACCCTCAATGGGTCAATGACCAGGCTGTGGCTAAGGATTACCCAAGTTAGCACAGCCAGCAGTTTCCACCAAGAGCAGGCAGCGGGCTTGCAGGGTGAGGTGCAGGTGGGCGGCCCTGGGACCAGCTGGTTCCGGCTCCCTTTGGTGGCATTGCTAGGCCCCTCCTCTGACTCCTGGATTATTGGCCTCATCGATTCCCACTGATTGCTGCTTAACTGGTTCCAGGAAAAAGGGAAGAGGTGGACTCTGACTGTTTGCTTTTCTCTGTTAGACACAGAATCATTTTAATAGCTCCCATTTTCTGAACAAACAGGCTTCTGTTTCACCTTTAATTTTGTAAAGACACTGACCATGAGTCATCAGGCAAAAAGAAAGAAAGAAAATTCGCAAAATTCTTCCGTCTCCTCTCCCATCCCTTCCTACTCTCTATTCATATCAGACCTTACACTGCTCCACATCTGCCTTCTTGACTGAGAACCAGACTGGGGGGGAAAGATAATCATTGAAGGAGCTATCAAAAAAAGACTTCAGTTCTGTCTCTACTTACGGTCTGTGTATCCTCAGTAGGGGGGAGTCCTGTGCGCCCCCCCCCCCAGCCCTGGGTTCCTTATCTGGGAAATGGTGACAAAGTCACCTCACTGAGACTGGTGAGAGTGAGCGTGTGGAAACGGCAGCCCTTCCCACCCAGGGCTCAGTGGAGGCCAGTTCTTTCCCTTCTCTTTGTTTTCTTCCCCAAACTTTAGGTCTTTTCTCGAGTTCCAGGTCTCATTCACACTTTTTACTTATGGATTCATGAAACCAAAACCTCAGGGAGTTAATTCTCTTGCCTGCAGCAGTACAGTGGGTGATGTTGTGTTCTTTGGAGCTTCTGATCAGAGACGCAGGGGAAAGAACTGCAGACAGAATGATAATTTAAGGGAGACCGGGACTCGCTCTGGTTGGCGGCCCAGCTAAACTTTACTGATTACCTTATATACTTTCCAACATTCAGTAAGAATTTAACACATATACAAAGAGGTGAAGTAACATTAGGAAGCTACCATTTAAGATTACAATTTAGTGTGAAGGCTGAGGAACACATATACAATTGATTTTGTTTAGAGTAAAAACATAAGAGAGACTGGCTGTCTATTCCTTTTAGCCCAAATGGAAACTAGTGATTATAATGTTAATGAATGAGGAAGGCAGAGAATAGAACCCAATGCTCGGTCTGTTCACCCCCAGCTGCGACCCCAGCTAATTCTCCACACCTCCCAGAGAGAGACTTTTCTGCATATTCCTGCATCTCTATAGGCAGGTCCAGAAGCTCGATCTTCAAAGAGATGCTTCTCAGAACCAATCTCCTGGAGGAGCACATTGAAGAGAACTGCCATGTCTGAGCAAGGGGAGCTTATCTCCTACAGTGGGTCAGTGGCAGAGCACAGATGCCGTCTTCTTGCCACCCACAGCTGGAGGTCTGTCGGCCTGGTGTCATTGCCAAGGGTGGGGTGACGAAGCCGCCTGGCCCGATCCGGGGCTCTCCAGGACTTTTTGTCACCTCCCATGTCTACAAACTCACCTTTATTTTTTCTCCTTTCCTGACCCTAGGTTTTGGCCCCCAGCCAGTTCCTTGTCACAGTCCCTGTAAGAGGCCTGGCGGGGTACAGGGAAGCCCGGGGGCAGCGCTGGCGCTACTACACGCTGCAGGGCGGCAGGCTCCCCTGCCCCCTGCAGGCCCCCGAGGCTCTGCAGCAGTGGCTGGAAGTGGAGCAGTTTGTGAAGAGCCTTTGGCAGTGGCGTGAGTCCGATGTGAGCATCGAGGGGGACATTGTGCCCGCCAAGGTCCTCCAGGTGTTCCGGAAGCTGGTAGAAAATGCGATCAGAACCTGTCACCTCTCAGGTGAGCCGATCAGGAGAAGGGGCGGGGGAAACCAGGCACATTTCCCTTTTGCTCTCTGAAGCCTCGGCGTGGGCGTCACCCAAAGACCACTCCCCTAATGGGACACAGTAACCATGTCCTCTGTGAATCTGTTCAATCTTCATAATATGAATTAGTTTTTTTTTCTGCTGGGACACACAGAAGATTGGAATTCATTCTCACAAAACGCTCTCCTAGATTTAAGTAGATGACTGCTCTGACGCACACAGGACAGGGTGTGGATTATGTACCTTTCCAGGATGTAGCTTAAAAACGCCAGTGTACTTTTTGTGAAAAGCAAACTATTCACAAACCCTAGATCTTCATTATTAGCACACCCCCAATCTGACTGCAAGACATCGAGAGAACACATTTGAAAACTACCACCTCGTACCAAGATACGAAATCTGGAAGCCATAGTGGACTGATTAAGTTTGATAACCCCCCAATTGTGTGCTCTGTGTGTGTACCATTTTTGTTCACATAAAGTAAGGTGAATGTCTTTTCTTTTTTTTTTTAGAGACAGAGTATCATTTTGCTACCCTCGTGGCATCACAGCTCACAGCAACCTCCAGCTCTTGGGCTTAGGCGATTCTCTTGCCTCAGCCTCCTGAGTAGCTGGGACTACCCGTGCCTGTCACAAAGCCCGGCTATTTTTTTGTTGCAGTTTGACTGGGGCCAGGTTTGAACCCACCACCCTTGGTATATGGGGCCGGCGCCCTACTCACTGAGACACAGGTGCTGCCCAAGTAAGGTGAATGTCAGACTGGGAAAAAAGTGGCCAATTTTCTTTATTATCAAAGAGAATTTATAAACCAATAGGGAAAAAGATGAGCTGACAAGTAGAAAAAAAAGGAAAAAATGAACCACAGAAAAATATTTTAAGTGACTGGTAAAAACAAGAAAAGGCATTCCACCTAAAGATACATTAGAACGCAATTAATACTAGGTACAATAAAATACTTCTCTTAAAAGAGATGAAAAGTTTGATAGTGGGCCCGGTGCACTGTAATCACACCTGTAATCCCAGCACTCTGGGAGGTGAAGGTGGGTAGATTGCCTGAGCTCAGGAATTTGAGACCAGCCTGAGCAAGAGCGAGACCCCATCTCTACTAAAAATAGAAAAACTAGCTGAGCGTGGTGGTGGGTACCGATGGTCCCAGCTATTCAGTAGGCTGGGGCAAACTCTTGAGCCCAGGAGTTTGAGGTTACTGTGAGCTATGATGATGCCATGACTCTACCCCAGAGCAACAGAGTAAGATTCTGTCTCAAAAAAAAAAAAAAGAAAGAAAGAAAAGTTTGATCATGCTCAGTGGAGGGCAGGCATGATGACGTGGCTATTTTTATGTATTCTTTTCAAAAGTGTAAATTGGTGCCTCCTATTTTAAAAGATAGTTTGTCCATTAAAAATTTTTTTATAATATGCTCACTTGATAATTCACCGATTCTTGTTCTAGAAGCATGTATAGGTCTATAAGTATACAAAGAAATATGCACCAGGATATCTTCAGCCGTAGGTTTCATAATAGTAAATAGCTAGAAATAATCCCAGTGGCTAACAAAGATGACATTACCTCTGCCTAGCAGGCTACTGGGCAGCCTTTAAGAAGAATGAGGCTCACAGCCCCCGCCCCCCCCCCATATGCACAGAGTTGTAAAACAAATGCATGTGCTAGGGGATTAACTAAAAAACCACTAAACAATATGAGATTCCATTTGTGTAGAAATAAAAGGATATATTTGTACAGATGTTTGCTTGTCCATACAGAACAGTTCTGAAAGGTTCCATCTGGCAATAGTTCATATTTAATAGAGTTTACTAAATTAAGGATGCTTTCATGGATTATTTAATTTAATCCTCATAACAGCCCTAGAGAGTAAGAATTCTCTTTCTACCTGTTTCATATGTGAGAAAATTAAAACCTAGAGAGGTTATGTCACTTGTCAAAGGTCACATGCCCAGCCAGCGGAGTGAGTGACAGAAGCAGGATGTGGGCTGGCCCCAGCGTCAACTCACTGGCTCACCGTGTGACATTATTTTTAACAGTGAAAGTGCAAAGCAGAGATTCAGACCGGGCCAGGTTGACAAGTGCTTTCAGTAAATAATGCTCAAGTACCAGACCTCATCGTGATCCTGTCTGGGCAGCTCTGATGAGATGCAGACAATAAGCCCTTTATCAGACGGGGCCAAGGAGGGGACTGTTTCCCTCTGAACAGCCCCACACCATCAATGAGCTTCCGTTTTCTTCTCAGAGCCGGGAAAACCAAAATAATAGATTCCGATTCAAGGCAGCTCGTCCTTATCTGAAGGCAAACACAAAAAATCACTGTATCTTTTGAAATATGGGGAAGCAAATTAGAAATGAGGGAGTTCTGGGTGTGAGCTGGAAAACTTCAGCAGATACATTCGTTTTCTTTCCCTCTTTGTGGGGTTGGAATATGAGGCAGTGGGAGCGTCTTCCTGCTCGACTCTATGAGATGCTGTGACAGGCTTTGAGGTATTTTACGATTACAGGGCTTCTGATGGTACATCTGAGACGCTGGCTGGGGGAGTGGGAGAAATAGATATTATCAAAGAGACTGTGACTCAGCTAAAAGAGGGGTGACATGAACTCCACTTACAGCATACAGATAATAAGGGGGCTGACACTGTCCGCGGCCAGTATCGGAGCATCTGGGTGTACAAGTCCCTGTGTTCTCAGTACTCTGAAAAACATTGAGGTTTTCGGGTGGAATGGAGAATATAAAAGAGTGTTGAGATTTCATGTTTTGGTAGCAAATACAGATGGTTCCTGACGTATGATAGTTCCACTCAGATCTTTTGACTTCACAGTGGTGTGAAAGTGATGCGCTTTCAGTAGAAACTGGACTTGTCGTTACTCACACAGCCGTTCCATAAATTACATGAAACACTCAATGCTTCATCGTAAGATAGGCTTTGGGTTAGATTTTGCTCAGTGGAGGCTAAAGGGAGTGTTCTGAGCACATTTAGGGTTGGCTATGCTGAGCCGAGAGGCTCTGTAGCTTAGGGGTTTTAAATGTGTATTCAGCAAATGATCATTTTGACTTACAATGGAGGCCACAGCATGTAGCCAGCCCAGCTGAAAGGTGAGGATCCTCCGCACTGTACTGCTTCTTTGTATTCTATAGCTGTTTTTCTTTTTTATTCTTTTAGCTGAGGCTTCTGAAAAGAATCTGTTAGTTTAAAATGAAAGGGAGGATGGGCGGGTGGTGAGGACTCAAACCACTCTGGTGACAGGTATACTCAGAGCCCTGGGTTCAGCATTGCACAATTCATCCATGTAACAAAAACACTTGCACCTTCTTAATACTTTTAAACAAAGAACAACAAGAGAGAAAAGATGCCATAAAAAGCTTGGGATTGGGGGAGAGAGAAAGAAGAAAAACTCACCAACAGTCAGACTCTTTAGTACTGCTCTGACAGTGGTTAGCTGACTCATGGCCTGGTTTTGCTGTAAGCGCCCCACCCTTGATGTGCGACTGATGTGGTGAAAGTTGGCCCCCCAGTTGCTGGTCGGGCACATGCTCACAGTTCCTTCTCTGGACACTCAGCATTGAGCTTTTCTCTTCCCATTGTCCATCTGGTCTGTTCCCGCAGGTAAGGTCAGCATGCTAGCAATCCGCTCTGCGGTCTGGGTTGCCGTGGAAACTTGTGTGTGTCAGGTGGAGCTGGAGCTGGTCCCTGTGGTGGAGATCCCCACCACCTGGTCGGAGAAAGCCCGGTGGCCTCGGTGTCTGAAGCGCTGGCCCTCCCCGGAGAGAGTGGAATGTATCAAGGTATCAGTGGCTGGGGCCCAGCTCCCCAAAACAGACTCAGCAGCCTCTCCGGTCCCAGATTCTTGGAAGATCAATAGATCAGCACTTCTCAAAATGGGGCCCCTGGACCAACAGCCCTTGGGAACTTGTTGGCAATGCAGATTCCCAGCTCCCACTCTGGCCCTGCTGAGTGAGAGGGTGTGGGCAGGGCCCAGCAATCAGGGTTTCAGCAGGCCCTGTGCCTGGTATGATTCTGAGGCTAGCTCCGCTGTCTTCTGAGAGCTGTCCAAGTCCAAGCTGGCTCCTCTTCCCCTCACCCCTTCTTTTCCCCATAGGATGTGCTGCCCAAGGCCAGGTTCCCTGACACCGACTGCCTCAGGAACGGCTTTCCAGTTCAGCAAGCGTCCCTCTTCTCATTTCCCAATATGTTTCTCTTTTTCCAGTCATTTGGGTTTAACTTGCTGGCCCGCTCCAATTATCACTGGCAGCTGAGTTTCCTCCAGGCTGAGCAGGTGCTGCTGGAGCAGCTGGACGAGGACGGGGGCTGCCGCCGGAAATGCTTTCAGGTCATGAGGCAGCTGAAGGAGGACGTCTGGTGCCCAGGGAAGAGGCCCGTCCTCACGTCCCACCACCTGCAGGTGAGCAAGGCTGGGGGCCCCTGTGGGTCAGGGCTACCCCGAGACCTCATGGGAGAGCCACTCAGAAGGGGCGCGTGTGAGAATGCAGGATGGGGTCTAGCATCCAGATTTGCCAGCCCTCAAATCATTATTCATTATGGGAACAGGTGAACTCAGCTGTGTGTGTCCACCACACTCCTGCCCAGGGTACAATCTCCTCTCAGTCCCCCTTCCCTTTTCCATTTCTTCTCCCCTCTCTGCACTCCCCTCCTCCCCTTCTCTCTCTCTTCCCTCCCTCTCCTCTCCTTCTTTCCCTCTCCCTCCTTTTTCTCTCCTCCCCGCTCCCTCTCCCACCTCCCCCTCTTACTTCACTCAACAAATCAACTGTGTCCTCTGTGGGCCGGAAACCCTCCTGAAGTTCAGGAACGAATTACAAAACATGGTTTTCACCTCACATCTCTGATGAAGTCATGTTTTCCCTGATGTTATGACCCACTCAGTTCCCGTTCTAGCCCAAACACAACCACTCATGCACACCCAGACGCTGGGCAGAGGGGAAACAAGGAAACGTCGAGTTATCACATAAACAGTGCCACAGACCTGTTTCCAAGCTTCAGGACTTCCGGGTTCCAAATCATCAGCCAGGATTTTCCCTGTTCCACCAGCTCCTGCCTCCCCTTGTCCCCAGCCCAACATCATGCCTCACTGCTGTGTTCACTCACTCGCTCACTCACTCATTCAACAAGAGTCTGTCCAATGAGGCGCCTCTGGGCTGGAGGCCTCTGGGCTGGCCAGTGCCTACTGTGTGCTCAGCGCCTACTGTGTGCTCAGCTCCTGCTGTGTGCTCAGCTCCTGGAGGTACCGGGACGAGAAACGTGGTGTGTTCTTGCTCTCGTGGAGCTTCCGGTCTAGCAGGGGAGGGAGACACTGGTCCACTGAGCCTTGCGGGAGCTCAGAGGGGAGAGTCACAGTGCTCTGTGAGGGCTCAAAGCAGCACATCCTGACCTGGACTGGGGAACTGGGGACTTCCTGGAGAGGTGCCCTTTGATCACCCTCCCAACTCCCTCTTTCTCAAACTGTGGGCCACACAGAGTGAAGTGAACACTCGTGTAACAGCTGTGTGCAGTCGCTGGGGTTAGCAGGTGTCAGACTCTTGCAGGACCACAGAGCCCAGCCCAGCCAGCGTCTACACGAGCTTCCGCCCTCCTCCCTGACCTCAGAAAAGATGCGCTGACTTTCTGCATAGGTGAGCACAGGTCCTGGGGCAGACACCCTCATTCAGTGGACAAAACCATCCTCTGTCACCATGAAACTCTCTCTTCTTTGAGGCAACCTACTTAGGGCCAAGTTCAGGTCGGGCTTACTCCCCCAGCACACTGACCTCACCTCAGGGTTTTGTTCACCGGCGGGAGGATGAGAGAGACCCAGTGCCTCTCCCATATCTTTGTACTGGTGGCTCAGTAAATATTTGCTGAGTAAATGAATGACTAGCTTCCCATCTCATTCAGCTTTTCTTTGCTGCCCCAAATCCCCAACATCTGTTTTGTGCTCTCATCTTTCCCGATAACCTGCCCTTCTTGACCTACCCAAGGATCTGTTATCGTCTTGTCTACACACACCGGGCCTTAGTTTCTACATCCTCAGCATGTCCTCGGGCACACCCCCCTAAAAACACACGACCTGCCCGCCTGGGTGGAGGGCACATGCTTTCAAAAGATACACTAATATGTTTCGTGAATTTAATTTGCTGTCTACAAGCCACCCGGAAGAGGTGGAGCTGAGGAACACATTCAAGTCTGTCTCATATCAAAATCTCGTAATCTTCCTTTCTGTTTTTCAAAACAGTCTCACTCTGTCACCCTGGGTAGAGTGCCGTGGCATCATAGCTCACAGCAACCTCAAACTCCTGGGCTCACGCGATCCTCCTGCCTCAGCCTCCCAAGTAGCTGGGACTACAGGTTTATGCCATGACACCCAACTAGTTTTTAGTAGTATCTTGCTTTTGTTCAGGCTGGTGTCAAGTTTCTGAACTCAAGGAGTCCACCCACCTCAGCTTCCCAGAGTGCTAGGATTACAGGAATGAGCCACCATGCCCAGCCAAAACCTCATAATCTTAATGATTAACTTCTTTGCCTCCCAGTTAAGATGGATAGAAACACCATTAAGTGGCATGAAAGTTTCAGGAAAGATTGAACAGGGCCACCACAGACCTCAAACTGCCTTCCACTCAGGGGTTTGCTTCTATTCCAATGGCTCCTACATCCCCTAGAGCAGTGGTTCTCAACCTGTGGGTCGCGACCACCTTGTAACAATGAAAATACATCCTGCATATCAGATATTTACATTACGATTCCTAACACTAGCAAAATTACAGTTATGAAGTAACAACGAAAATAATTTATGGTTGGGGGTCACCACGACATGAGGAACTGTATTAAAGGGTCACGAGATTAGGAAGGCTGAGAACCACTGACCTAGAGCATTTTAAGGCAACTCATTAAAGGTTCTGGGTCAGTCCTCCCTGACCCCCGCCCACACGGCACGATAGGCTTGTGCATTCTCAGGGAGGGGTGTTTTATAAAGGGAGCTTATTTGTGGATCAAAGTAGGATAAATAGAACGGTGCCTCCTGCCTTTTCCTCTGGCCCTCCATGCTTCATCCACGGGCAGAATTCTCTCACCTTTGGGTGCACACGCCTGGGAATGGACGTGTCTGGTGACAAGGTGGCTCGACACCGTCCCAGACGATGGCTGAGTGTGCTGGACCCTTGCCATGTCTTTAAGCTGGGGAAAGTGGAAGAGGTCGGGTTGCAAAACAGCAGTAGGAAGGATGTGGCAAAGACCGTCATCTCAACCTGGCTCCAACATGGTCTTGCAAGGTTCTTACCTCCTCCCCAAAGAGGCTGTTCCCGGGAAGCAGAGCTGATCTTACATCAGCTTATTTATTCCTAAAATGTACTCAAAGGTACATGGCTTGATGAAGGGCTTAACTGTTTCAGTTTGTTTAGGGAGATAAAACCTTAACTAAGAGAAAGAATAGCATAAAATTATCTCTGACTCATTTATTCAGAATAATATGATCTAAGTCAAAATATACTCTGTATCTGGCTGACCAATAACTGATCTAAAAGATAAAGACTACATAAAAACACTCAATATATGAGCCCTATATAATATTAATTGATTACTTAAATAATTCACTTATTCAATAAATGTTTATTGATTGTGTCTCATAGACTAGTCCCTCTGCTGGGTACTAGTGTCATAATGCTAAATAAAAATAGATGTAGTCCACTGCGCTTATGAAATTTATAATCTAGTAGGAGAGATGGAAAATCAGATAAACACATAAACGTGAAAACTACTGTCATCATTGCTTATTATAAGAAGTACATGGTTAAGAGACTGTGAAATGGGTGTACTCGGAAAATTTGATCTGTTAGATGAGCTTTCTGGACAAAAGAGGGAAGGAAGTATTTTCTATGCGGAAGAAGTGGGATGTGCAAAGGTCCTGTGGTAGAAGAGAGTGTGAAATGAGGTCTGTGCGGCTAGGAAGGGAGAATGTGGGGCTTGGAAAGAAAGGCAAGGACCAAACCTTATAAACCAAACACATTAAGGATTGTATCTTTAGTTAACAAACAATGGATAAGCTTTTAATCATTTTAGACAAAAAAGAACATAGGTTTATATTTTTAAAAGATCACGTTGGCTGCTGTGTGGATGGTACAAGCGTAGTTGCAGGCTGGCGAGGCGACTATTGCAGAGGTCTGGTGGGGTGTGGAGGGGTGTGGATGAGCGTGGTAGGAGTGAAGATGAAGACAAGTGGGAAGCTGTGAGAGATACTTAGGCAGGAGGATCCTGGGACTTGATTGGGCGGTACAGGAGAAGATGCCTCCTGGGCGTGTGTCTTGCACAACTGGCTGGATCAGCAACTCTGGTGGTGGATCACGTGTGTGGCAGAACCAGGAGTTCAGTCTGGACATGCCGAGACTGAGAAGAGAGCTGAGGTAACTCAGATGCTCAAGAGATACCAGGGGCTCGGCACCCGTAGCTCCGTGGGTAGGGCGCTGGTCACACACACTGGGGCTGGTGGGTTTGAACCCAGCCCAGGCTTGCTAAACAACAATGACCAAAAAAAGTAGTTAGGCATTGTGCATTGTGGTGGGTACCTGTAGTCCCAGCTACTTGGGAGACTGAGGTAAGAGAATCACTTAAGCCCAAGAGTTTGAGGTTGCTGTGAGCTGTGACGCCACCGCACTCTACCGAGGGTGACAGAATAAGAAAAAAGAGATACCAGGGAAGGGGGTCGCTTGGAGAAACAATTGCAAGTCACCTGTGTTTCATGAGCCTTAAAGCCACTGTGGTGAAAGAAACAGATGGCTGAGGGACAAGTGTGGAGTGGGAGGAGAAGAGGCCTGCCCCCAAGTCTCCAGAAACCCCAGCATGCAGAGGTGGGCAGGAGGATCAGCTTGCCTGGGAGTGGCTGCGGTGTGAGAAGAGCCCGAGGGTAGACTGGCCGGCAGCCACGCCGAGGATGACCCGAGAGAGACAGAGTGAGCGCAGGTCAGGTCTGCTGAAGGTCAGGTGAGAGGCAGGCCAACGAGGGCCTGTAAGATTTGGAGAGGCAGAGGTCATTGGACCTTGACCAGAGCAGCTTTTGAAGTTTAATGGCAGAAGACTCCACCTGGGAGTGTGTCCTGGAGGCAGAGCATGGAGGAAGAGGAAAGAGATGGCAACACGTCAGGGATCACTGGAGAAGGCTGGGTGTGCAGCGAGGCAAGGGTTAGGGCCTGAGGGAGCTGCGGGCCTGAGGGAGCTGGAGAGCTGGCAACAGGCAGGAAAGCTGCGAGGCAGAGGCTCATCCATCACGCGGTTCCCGGAAGGTGGGTCCCGAGCCTGTGGCAGGACCAGCCCAGCTGGGAGGAGGGGCGGATGCCACAGCAAGCAAGGACTGCCTGGTTTGGAGGGTGAGGGCTTCCTTTCTCCCGTAAAGTAGGAGGCAAAGGCATCTGCCTGGAATGGGTATTGCAGATTTAAGGAGAGTGATGGTCATTGGCAATGTTGGAGGAAAGTGAGGGAATAAATTAGTGAGGAGGGCAGAGGGCCAGCTGGTGAGAATGGTGCCCACCAGAAGCGGCCTCACGAGCTTGTGGCAGACGCCGGCTGCCCTGGGCGGCTTCTTCCTCCTCCTTCCAAGGCCACACAAACTCCATGATTGTTTCTGGAGATACCCTCCTCGATTGCGGGAAACGCTGTCTGACACCTCCTCTTCCTTCCACAGACGGTGCTCTTTTGGACCTGTGAGAAATATCCCCACTCGAAGGACTGGCAGGCATTCCGCAAAGCCTTCCTGCGCCTGGTGAGGAAGCTGCACAAGTGCGTGAGCCAGCACTTCCTGAAACACTACTTCGTCCCGGACAGCAACCTCCTCCAGTACGCCAACTCGGGGGAGCTGGACGCAGTGGCCCAAAAGTTGGCCTTCTTCCTGAAGGACTCGCAGGTCAGCCTGCCCTGATGGCTTCCCGGCCTGGGTGGCTCTTGGACTTTTCATTCTGGCTTGACCTCGCATTCTGGATGGTTCCTACATCAGGTGCCAGGAGAGAGGCAACACACGGCAGAGGGATAAGGGGGAGGAAGCTGTGCCCCGCGGTGTCTGACCCACGCCTCCTCCTGGGACCCAAGCAGGCATCTCAGCTACCTCTCGTGGGGATGGCTCTCCTCAAGCTTCCCTAAGCCACAGATTCCAAACTGATGACAGTTCTGAATTTATTTTCCCTTGTTCAGGCTTTGACTGCCTGACAGGGAGGATGGAGACAGACCCTCTGGAAGGCTAGACATTAGCCTACTCGCCAAGCCCCCAAACATGGGCTCCCTGGGCCTCAGATCAGGGCTGTGAGCCTGTAGCACTGTGATGCCGCCTTTTCAAGGGGAAGGCCTTGGATCAACAGAAAGTGTTACTGGCTGGTTGAGTAACTGGTTTGCCTCCTGGGTCAGGGCCACAGCACTGAGGAGCTGAGTAAGCATGCCGTGCTCCCTTGCTGCCCTGGGCGGTGGTTCTGTCTGCTTCCCTGGTGTTCTTTAAGCAGGGAGGGAGTAGTTCTGATGGTGAGAGTCAGTCCAACATGACAGGGCAGCCCAGCCACAGCCTTCTTTTTGCTTCCTAGTATTTATGTAGTAAACTCAGTGCTGTGATCTGCATGGAATGACCTGGGCGTGGCTTGCCTGGCTGTATATTCCTTTACTCACTTCACTCATTCAGTGGTAAACAAATGTCTGTTCAGCACTTGGAATACAACAAAGAACAAGATGGACCTTCCCGGTGGGATGACACCTAATGGTGGAGACGGGAAATGAACAGATACATCAACATTATACTACCTAGGGGAGCCAGGGCTCTGAAGGAGGCAAACAGTGTTGAAATACAGTCACAGAAAGACCCACGGGATGAAAATGACAGTAGCGGAAAGGGGAGGAAAAGTGACCCAAGGACAGCCCTGGAGGGGCCAGCAGGAGTCAGGTCACCTGGCCTAGTAAGGGCAGGAGATCAAAGGTGTGACATTTGGCTCTCTGGAAGCAGCTGGGTATCATGATCTGACTTGCATTCTAAATTAATGTTCTGATAACTGCCTCAAGAGCACCTGGGGGCTCCCGTGAGCATCCAGGGCACTACGGTCACCCTTCTGGGGTCTTGCTGAGCCAGACAAAGCTACACTCCCATGCAGCACAAATGACCAGTAACTCAGGAGGCCCTGGGAAGCCCAGTGGTTTTTTCTGGCACTTACTTAATGCTTCTTAGCTCAAGGAACTCCTTTATCACTTTGGAACATTTCCCCCCAAATATGTATGGCAAAGTGAATTTTCTAAAACATGAACTACTGGTTTTATTGTGATGAAAATCCCCATTTGGAAATGAAAATAATTACTTTTCAAAACTACTGTAACCAAATGGTGGGGCCCTACAGCTGTCACATAGGAAATCATGGTTTTATTAACAAAAAGTTGGAGAAAAAAATCTTTCTAAACTTACAATGAACAAACCAGTGTTTTGTTAAAACATCTAATTCTCATATTCTTGTATCTCAGGAAACATTGTTTTTGAGAAGATGGTAAATGTAACAGGTTTTTTTTCTTTTCATGATGAAAACATCTTAAGCAAATTTTAAAAGAGCTATATACACACACACAAATAAAATAAAATAAATGAGCTACACAGTCACGAAATGCCAAAAGTGACAGTTGATTGTACCACTGATCCAGCATGTGCATGTGTGTGTGTGGGGGGGGGGAGGGAGTGACAGGTGCCATAGTCAGATTCCACCAGATTCTTAACCTTTTTGGCAAGAGATCAATGATTTTTAGAAGAGTTTGGGCTGTCTGCTGATTCCTGCGCAGTCCCACTTCTGGCCAGCAGAGGGCAGAAGGAGACCATATATAAAAAGATCCAGGTCCCACCCACTCTTGTCCTCAGAGCCCAGCAGGTGTCTCTCCCCTTAGTCTATCACTTACACCTGGCTTCTCCAAAACAGCAAACCAGGGACAGTAGAGTCCAGCTGATACTAAATTGTTGACTTTTCCTGCCATTTTAGCCAAAACGACAGTCTTAATGCTAAAAGTTCAGATATAAAAAGGGAGGGACAGTCTATCCAGGAGCCTGGAGCATTCAGCTTTATTGTTTCCTTGGAAAGACTACACAGCTCTGAAAAATCTGATAATATCACTCCTTTATATAAGCAGGTTTTTCTTTTTATAATTCTCCAAAAGAGCTTTTCCATTCATTTGTCTGCCCCCTTCGAGCTGTAAGATGGCTTTTATAGAGGAGTGGTGGGTATTCAGCCACTGCTGTGACCTGCTAGCATTTGCATCCCTGACACTGTGTAACTGCATAACCTGGCTGAGTTGTTTGACCTTTGTTTTTCTCCAGTTCCTCTCTCCCAAACAAACATTGTTTTATGGTCTGAATTGTGACTCTCCCAAATCTAGATGATGAAGTCCTGACTCCCAGCATCTGTCCCCCCAAAAAGGAGGAACTGTATGTAATAAATGCAAAGACCATATGATCATCTCAATAGATGCAGAAAAAGCCTCCAATAAAATTCAGCATCCTTTTCTGATTAGAACACTTAAGAATTTAGGCATAGGTTCTACATTTCTGAATCTGATTGAAGCCATCTACAACAAAGCCACAGCAAATATTATGCTGAATGGAGTAAAACTGAAGGCTTTTCCACTTAGAAATGGATCCAAACATCATTATCCTCTATCGCCACTATTATTCAACATAGTGCTGGAAGTTCTAGACAGTACAATCAGGCAAGAGAAGGAAATAAAGGGCATCCAAATGGGAACAGAGGAGGTCTACCTCTCACTCTTTGCCGACAATATGATCTTATACTTAACCCCAAAGACTCAACCACAAGACTCCTGGGAGTGATCAAAAAATACACAATGTCTCAGGATATAAAATCAATGTCCACAAATCAGTAGCCTTTAGATATGCCAATAACAGCCAAGATGAGAAAATCTGTAGGAATATACATAACAAAATAGAAAAGGGACTCTACAAAGAAAATTACAAAACCCTAAGAAAAGAAGTAGCAGAAGATATTAACAAATGGAAGAAGATACCATGCTTATGGCTGGAAAAAAAATCAACATTGTGAAAATGTCTGTACTACCCAAAGCAATTCACAGATTCAATGCAATCTTCATTATAATACCATTATCATGCTTTCAAGATTTGGGAAAAATAATTCTTCATTTTGTATGAACAAGAAGAAACCCTGTATAGCCAAGGCAATTCTTAGTAATAAAAATAAAGCTGGGGTATCACCCTACCAGACTTTCAGCTATACTATAAGGCCATAGTTATCAAAACAGCACGGTATTGGCACAAAAATAGAAACATCGATATTTAGAACTGAATAGAAAACCATGAAATGAAACTAACTTCTTACAGCCACTTGATCTTTGATAAACCAAATAAGAACATACACTGGAGGAAAGAATCCTTATTCAATAAATGGTGCTGGGAGAACAGATAAGCACATGTAAAAGACTGAAACTGGGCCTGCACCTCTGACAAAAATTGATTCAAGATGGATAAAAGATTTACATCTAAGTCACAAAACAATAAAAATCCTCAAAGAAAGTGTGGTGAAAACACTTGACAGTGTCTGCCCAGGGAAAGGTTTTATGAAGACTTCTGTGGCAATTGCATTAACAACAAAAATAAACAAATGGGACTTAATTAAACTGAAAAGCTTCTGTACAGCTAAAGAAACAACAACCAAAGCAAACAGACAATCTTCATAATGGGAAAAGGTATGTGCATATTATGAATCGGACAAAAGTTTGGTAACTAAGATCTATAGAGAACTCAAATTTATCAGGAAAAAAAGACCCAACAATCTCATATATCTCTAGGAAGAGAGATGAATAGAACCTTCTCTAAAGAAGACAGATGAATGTCTAACAAACATATGAAAAAAATGCTTATCATCCCTAATCATCACAGAAATGCAAATCAAAACTACACTGAGATATCACCTAACCGCAGTGAGAATGGCCCACATCACAAAGTCTCAAAACTGCAGATGCTGGTGTGGATGTGGAGAGAAGGGAACACTTTTACACTGCTGGCGGAACTGCAAAGTAATACAACCTTTTTGGAAAGAAGTATGGAGAATCCTCCAAGAACTCACATTAGACCTCCCATTTGATCCTGCAGTCCCATTACTAGCATCTACCCAGAAGAAAAAAAAATCCTTTAATCATAAGGACATTTACACTAGACTATTTATCACAGCTCAATTCACAATTGCCAAAATGTGGAAACAGCCTAAATGCTCACCAACCCAGGAATGGATTAAGAAGCTGTGGTATGTCAGGTGGCACCTGTGATTCAAGGAATAGGGAACCGGCCCCATATACCAGAGGTGACAGGTTCAAACCCAGCCCCAGCCAAAAACTGAAAAAAAAAAAAAATCTGTGTATACCATGAAGTACTATTCAGCCACTAAAAAAAGATGGAGATTTTACATCTTTTGTATTAACCTGGATGGAGGTGGAACACATCCTTCTTAGTAAAGCATCACAAGAATGGAGAAGCAAGAATCCAGTGTACTCTATTCTAATATGAAGGCAGCAGTAGATGAGCTAATACGAGGGGTGTGAGGGAATGAGGGAGTGGGGACAGGGGAGGAGATGGGGGTGGAGAATCACGGTGTATGGCACACCTCTTGGGGGCAGGACACAAGTATAAGAGGAACTTCATGGCTGGGCACCTGTGGCTCAAGTGGCTAAGGCGCCAGCCACATACACCTAAGGTGGTGGGTTTGAATCCAGCCCCGGCCGCCAAACAACAATGATGGCTGCAACCAAAAAAAAAAAAGCCTGGCATTCTGGTGGGTGCCTGTGGTCCCAGCTACTTGGGAGGCTGAGATAGGAGATTTGCTTGAGCTCCAGGAGTTGGAGGTTGCTGTGAACTGTGATGCCACAGCACTCTACCCAGGGGAACAGCTTGAGGCTCTGTCCCCCCAAAAAGGAGGAACTGTATGTAATAAATGCAGTCAGTGTGACCTAATTCTTTGTACCCTCAATGAATCCCAAACGATAAAAATATAAAAGAAAACAAACCATAAGAAATAAATTTCTGTTGTTTAAGCCTCCCAGTCTGTGGTATTTTGTTATTTTCCTGGGGCTGTAGGAAACTAGACAGGACTCCTGGGAGAATGAATATGTCATTGCTTCAATGAGAAGAATAAATGGGCAAGAGGCTGGTAGTTCAGACCCCGGCGTGGGCTAACTGCCGAACAGCCGGTTATCATTTTAGATGTCTCCCCCTTGTGGCCATTTGCCCACCTCTGCTGTTCCTGAGTTGCATATGTAACTGTCCCATCCCGTAAATGAATTCTTTATGGAGGAAAGAAATCTCCATAGAAAGCTCCACAAATTCTCACAAGGAAAATGTGCAGACAATTCTACTGCAAATTTTCCCTTTGTCCTTGTTGGTAAAATAGAGGCAATATCTCTTCTGAGAGGCCAATTTCTCCACGTGCAAAGGCTCTGATCCTCCCATCCCCGCTCAGTTTTTCTGCTTATTACCTGCGGCACCTTCCACCTGCCTCTCTTCTCCCCTTTACCATCCAGCTTCCTGAGCAATGACACCGGTGTCTCCACTTGCCTCGTTCACACTTTTTTTTAACTGTGAAAGATTGTCCTACATGCAAGAGTCTAACATGTTTGAAGAATAATGATAAAACCCATATACCATACCGAGGTGAAAAAACCCCAGCCCGTTGCCAGTACTTTAGAATTCTCCTAAGTTCCTCTCCCTCGCAGACGTAGGGGTCACAGGTGTCCCCAGTTCTCTGTTAATCCTTCAGCTGCTTTTCTTGATAGTTTTACCACCTGCCATATTTCATTGAACTTAAGCTCTCCCATTGCGAGATAGATCATTATTTCATGTCTAAGACAGAGCGAGTGCTGCAAAGTGTAATTTTAAGACACGACTCTTTTATAAGATGCATCTTATTTTTGGAGAGATTAAAATTTCCAAAAAAAGGATGTCATAGGATAAACAAAGCATGACCTGCAGGCATCCTAAACTGTGTTTTTAGTTTTTATTTCTGAATTTTACATAAATGGCGTCATGCCGTATGAAGTCCTGCGTGATGAGTTCTTCTGCCCACAGTATATTTTTGAGCCCCCCTGTATGTGCACGTGACAGTGGTTTGTTCCTGTCCTTGCTCCCTACTGTACCGCTGGACTCTGCTACACTTTGTGTTACTGTAATTGGGCGTCTGACTGGTTTCTGCTTTTATTGATGTGAGTGATGTTTTTATGCACATTCCTATACATGTCCTCTGATGCACACAAATTTAAAGGTATATACGTAAGAATATCAGGTTCACAGAATATGCATATCTAACTTTATTGTGTAATGTCAAAATATTTTCCAAAGTGATGATACCAATATTAGTTCTCTATTTTAATAAGAATGTTCAATGACTTTCTCCACTGCAGTGGAGTATAGGTCACATCTTGTAACAAGAAAACTTTCCCTTTTTTAAGATCACAGGGATGTGTTCCTACGTTATTCTCTAGCATTTTATAGCTATGCTTTTCACCTGTGTTAAGAAGTATTCCTTAATTCCTATTCTATTTCAATAATATTGGAAAAAACTCTTTGCTTGGAAGTTTGGTATAACTCA